CAATGGGGATGGTACCAACTGCACAGAGAAGTTTCTGGCTGTCACAACAATGGGCCTGGAGTGAGGTGCACTGCTGACGTTTACTAGACCTCAGCACGGAATGCTAAAAGTCTTATGAAGTGAAGATTTGTCCCACTGGAAATTATAGGTGAAAAATGATTAATATCTGAGACTAGAACCCAACTTCATTATACATATGGACACAAAGTATTTTTTGCATAGTTGTAATATACACTGAATTTACCAGAAGTATAACTATCATAAAACAAAGGAAGATCATCCTTTATCCTTTGTATTTTAGAAATTCCTGTTCCCTCAGCAAGGCTGTTTGATGGTATTTTGGTCACCAATAAAACACCTGTATCAGTCTACATTTGAGGCTGTTGGACTCATAATGCTTCCATGTATAGGCACAAACAACTATCAGTTTCTTCTTCTAGTGGAAGAGTAAGCATTTATATACTGAAATACATGGGGCCACCATATTTGTAGTGATGACAAGTAATAACCTTGATTATGCATTGCATAATCTACACGGCACAGACGGCAGTCAAATTTCCTTTTCTCATTTATGTTAAAATTAGGACATTGTTTTTGAAATTATATGGTAGGCAGATTGTACCGTATTACTAAATATTTTAAATGAGGAGGGGGCGCCTGGCTGGCTCAGTCGGTGGAGCATGTGCCTCTTGATCTCAGGGTTGTGGGTTCAAGCTCCACACTGGGTGTAGCGATTACTTAAAAACTTAAAATTTTAAAAAATAAATGATAGCATAGGAGATGTTAAATTTTTTGAGATAGATCCACATACTACAAAATCCACCTTTCTAAAGTGTATAATTTAGTATAATTTTTAAAAATATATCCACAAGGTTGTGCAACCATCACCACTATCTAATCCCAGAACACATTCAGTGCCTCAGAAAGAAACCTCTATACCCATTAGCAGCCGCTTCCCGTTTTCTCCACCCCTGGCAATCACTAATCTACACTTTGCCTATTCTGGACATTCATATAAGTCAAAACCATACAACATGTAGCCTTTTGTTTCAAGCTTCTATCACTTAGCATGTTTTCAAGGTTCATCCATGTAGAGGCATGTATCAGTACACTTCATTCCCATGTTCTTAATGCTGCTCTATTTTGCCTTTCCCAATAGTCTAGATGAGGTGATAGTCACTTAGACAAGAGAAGTGTCAATGAAAAAGGAAACAAGTGGCCAAGGCACGTCTGTATGATTTGGTGACTCACTGGAGGTCTGGTGATAAAAGAAAGGGAGAAGTTTAGAATGACCTGGATTTGAACAAATGGAGAACAGAGGTACTATTTACTGATGAAGAGAATTTTTGTGAAATAGCAGGTTTGAAAGTAAAAGATACTGAAATCAGTTTAGGATATATTACACTTGGTTTGACCAAAAGACATCCTGGTTAGAGATGTCCAGCAACAATAAAAAAGGATATACCATCTTAAAGGTCAGATGATAAGCCTAGGCCAGAAATACAAATTTAAGAAAACAACATATATCTGAAGTTACTGAAGTGATGAAAGTGGTGAGGCCACTGGGACAAGTATACAGAGTGAAGGAAGGGCTAAAACAATCCTAAAGAAATGAACATGGAGGGATCAAAAGAGAGTGACATAGAGTGGCCAGAAGGTAAAAGGGTCACACACGTTGTCAGTACCTAGTTTCATTCCTTTCACTGGTGTGACATCTGGTGACAGGGCTGTATTGACACAGTACTTTATGGCTCTAGATGCCTTTGCATTCAGAAAAAAATACATCAAATTCTTACTAGAACCTACATTATCTCATAATGCATCTATCATTTACTACATGAGGTTTACATGTCAGCAAGACTTCTGATAATCTAACAACTCCAAAATGAACAAAAATTCAATTACATAAAAATTATATATACATAACCTCCATGTCAACAATCAGAAGGATTTTCTCCACCAATTTCTAGGTTGTAAAGTAACGAAATATCCTATATACCAGATTCAGGTATTATCTGGAGAAGGGAACTGCAATTAGAGGACCTATTACGTGTTGCATAACTTACTAAACCCTTTACTTCCATTATGGCTGTTGTGAAAGTAAGAAAAAAAGACATAAGCCTCATATTAAAGACAAGAAAAATAAGGATCAGGGGCGCCTGGGTGTCTCCGTCAAGCGTCTGCCTTGGGCTCAGGTCATGATCCCGGGGTCCTGGGATCGAGGCCCACATCGGGCTCCCTGGTCAGCAGGGAGCCTGCTTCTCCCTCTCCCACTCCCCCTGCTTGTGTTCCCTCTCTCGCTGTGTCTCTCTCTGTCAAATAAATAAATAAATCTAAAAAAAAAAGAAAAGAAAAATAAGGATCCAACAGAGAAGCTGCTTATCTGCAGTAACATAACTAGCAAAAGTGGTATAAAAGATACTCATCTAGAGATCATGACAGAAAACTAATCATCTTCTTAACTTTATCTAAAAACATATATACCAGTAAGAGTCAGCAAAAACCGAAAGCAGAAAAAGTTCCAGAAATTAACAAGCTTACTGCTTCTGTACCATCTCATGAGGTCTCTAACATGTTAATCCTAACATCTTTATTCTTTAGGATGTTCTAATCTCCTATCAGCCTGATCACATTATCATCTAACTCCTCCAAAAGGTGTTTCAGCCTGTCCCCGTACTTCCACTACAAACATATCAATAAACCCAGCGCTTGTGACTACAGTAAACCTAACTATTCTAATCTCATGGATAATCCTGACAAATGATGGCACTGCTAAACAAACATGTCCTATAAAACCCTCCTCCTGGTGCATTCTAATTCCTCCACCAGACTAAGCCCCTTTCACCAATGCCCTTGATCCCATCCCCTCCTGAAACACACTCGACCCATTAATCCCACTCCACCGGCTGTACCTGGGCCTTTCCAACCTAAAAAAAAAAAAACTTTCCAAAATCCTCTTTGACCCTTAAACCACTGCCTGACTTTTCCTCTTCCCTTTACCTCTAAACTTCTTTAATTACCTGCCTCCCTTCCCCACTCAATTGAAATTGCTAAGGAATTAGACATTTGCTAATTGCCAAATAGAGTTGCCTCCTTTTACGCCTCATCTTGAGCTTTCCCCACAACTCACTGATAATTTTTCTTTAAACTTTCCTCCCTAAAATTCTTTAATCTGTCACCCTATCTTTCTGATAGGTTTTTTTCCAGTCTCCTCTAGCTCTATGTCCTGTTCACCCCCGATGTACATAATTACCCCTGCTTAAACATTCAGACGCCCTTTCAGTCTATACCTACATTGTCCAATATAGTAGCCATCAGTCAAACAGTTATTTAAACTTAATTAAAACTAAATAAAAATTCAGTTCTTCAGTTGCACTGAGCCACATTTCAAGTGCTCAACAGCTCAACAACTTAAAAGTGGCTAGCGGCCACTCTATTAAGATCTAGAACACTTCCATGAAAGTTCTTTTGGACAGTGATGGTCTGTATACTCTCTTTCCATTCAATCGATATTTATGGAGGGCCTATTGTGTACCAGGCACTGTTCTGGATCCTAAAGATAGAGCACTGAACAAAACAAAGTCCCAGTCTTAATAGAGCTGACATCTAGGAGAGAGAGACAATCTCATTTATTCTCAAAGTGTCATATGCTGAGGACTCCTAAAGTCTCTCCTGGGCTCCCATCTTGAATTTCCAGCTTCTGCTAGAGTACTATGAAGTATTCTACTCTGTGTCCTAAACTGAACTCAGTATCTTCCTTTCCCTCTCAAACTTCTTTCTTCTGTATTCTTGATTTCTGAGTAACCCTGGACTTTTTCTCCTCTGTCCTAACCCATATAGTTACCAAACCTTGTTGAATTTATCTGTGTTAAATCTATCTCCTTACCTTTACTACCAGTGCCCCAATGATCTCTTGGCCTCAAACCTCCAAAATTAACTTCTCCAACTGATCTTTCCACATTTGCTTCATGCATTCCTAGTTCACTCTAGTCCTCTGGCATTAAAATTATACTTCTAAAGCACAAATTTGATCCTGTAATTTCCCAGCTCAAAAACCACCAGATAAACGCCTAAAGAATGAAACAAATCCCTTAGCACGAATTCAAAGCACTACACAATTTGTTTACAACCTACTTTATCCTAATATACTCTCCCGCTACATACTGTACTCTCCAGCCACACCAAATTACTGGGTCCCTTCAAGAAGCAATCTCTCCCCAAAAATTATTTTCTACTTTTCTCCACTTAAATACACAAACACAAGTTTGAATCAGCCACGAAGGCGTGATTCAAATGACACCTTTCTCTAAAGTCATCATCCCCCAATCAATCTTAATTATTTACAGAACTGCTGTAGCAATTACACATAACTACCGCACATCATATTCTCAGCGTCTAGTGCCGGGGGCGGGGTATCACGTTAAAGGATTAAATATTTCTCTGAACATTTTGTCTGTGTTACACAGAGACACATTTTTCGGTCATATTCGTGGAAACTTTTCTTTCCTCGCAGGACTCAACAACTTCATATGCTGTGGGTATTCAGTAAGTACTCAACAGAATGTGAGGCCTGCGCGGTATCTTCTCACATTCGGAGAGCGCGCATCGATGCTGCCTGAATGGAGGCGTTGATGGGAACCAGAAATTCTGGGTCCTCTCCTTCCCAGGATCTTGGTCCCTTCTTCCAAAGGACGACTGACAGAACAGGAACAGTGGCTCCAGCGTCCACTTGGGCGGAGCAGTCTATGGGGAAGATGAAAGGCTGGGGGAGGAGGTATGGAATGAGGTGGGACGAAACATTCCAAGTGGAGAGAGAATGGAGAACGACATCCCTCTCCTTATCCCTGTGAAGGGCTGACTTACCCAGAGAACCTCCCCACCGCCTCACTCGGCGCCTCTGCGGTTTTTCTTTCGGGTAGGGAACACGCTTCTATCACGCGAGTTATCTCTTCCGGGACTCCTGGATAAGTTCCGGATCAAGATCCGCGAAGAGAACAGTCATTCTTCCTCTCGCCCCGCCCACAGGTCCCGAACCTAAACCCGAGCTGAAATCCGGCGACGATCCGCGGAGGTTCCAGAAATGAGAGGGGAACTTTTGTCTTTTGGAGGCGGTCCCCGGAGGGCTGGGGGTGGGGGGTGGGGAACGGACCGGAAGTGACGCGCGCGAGTTCCGGTTGGCCGGACCCCAGCGGCGGGTGTGAGAGTCGGTCGCGAGCCGATTGCAGGATCCTGAGATCCGGAGAAGCTGGGGTCAGAGCGGGTAGGTAAGCCAGCGCGTGGAATTGGGGACGGAAGCCTAAGATTATCCTCAGAGATTGGCTTCTTCCGGAGCTCTCCCACTTAGACCATGCAGATCTGGGGCACCGTGATTTCGACTTCAAGCAGTGTTTTAGGGCGCTGCTGACTCTTGAGTGTCTCAGTCTGGCGGTAGCCAGGTTATCTGGGACACCTCCTTATGGTTGGCTACCAGTACAGTGAACCCATACACTGGGTTTCCTACCATTCGCTCTCATTGTCGCGGACTTGGAAGCTGTTCTAAGCTCTGTACAGTACCCATCTTCCTGCCTGGGTGTTTAGGACCTCAGAGTAAATGGAGATCCTCCCTGCTGATGACCAAGCTGTTTCTCAGGACCTGTCAATTTGACCTCCCCAACCACTGACACATGGTAATACATGATACTAAACGTATTCGCTGCTAAACAAAATTCAGGCATGTAAGTGCCATCTAAAGCGTTGGTGGCCAAGGGAATGGGGCCTTCGCTCCGTTGATCTTTTGCAAAGACCCTTCACGGATCTCCTACTACTTTATGAAGAGTAGGGTTCTCTACCTCTTCCAAATCCCTGACCGCCCCCCCTTGTTGTTATATTACAGTGGAGGTATTTGCAATAAAACCTGGAGGTCTGCTTAACCTCTAAACTTCCAAGAAGCCATATGTGGCCCTGTATCACACTAAGATTACTTAATGACCTCCAGTAGGTTTAAACTATTTTGTTTTTCTGCAAATCCATGCAAAAATCTCATATAGGTTCTGGCACTGTTTATCTATCATGGCAAGACGGCTCCTCTTCCTAACTTTAATGTCTTTCAATTCTCCTTTGGGGCTGATGACAGAAATTTTGTAGACAGACTACATTGATTTTTTGGAGAAGTGTGTACAAGTGTTTCTGCTGTTGTAATGATATAGAATTTAATGTTCTGACAGCTGTTTCCTATTAATTGTGTTATGAGCTGTGATTTTAGTTGTGTATTTTTAGCATAAATGATAGAAATTATTAGGCAACATTTTATGAATTCTAGAATGTGTTTTATTGACCTTTGGCAGGATGGTGGTACCTAGATAAATGTGGCCAATTTGTATGGGTGTGAAATGACTCTGTAGTAGAAATCTTTTATATTTTACTGCTTTGCCTATATTATTTTAAAACACTAAAGCTTTTTTTTTCCCCTTTGAGGTATATATCCTACTTGATTAATATAGTTTAATTTCTGTGACTCACATTCCAGAATAAATATTGGTAGGTTACCTAACTTTTTGAGCTGGTCTGGATTGTGTTGATAAAATACTGCTTACTTATTTCATAGGATTGTCACAATGATTAAGTGAGTTTGTAAATGGGAAATCACTCTAGAAATGAAAATACGGTGATGTCAGTTTACTCTGAAAGCTGGAAATATATCAGTGCAGAATTCTGTTGCTTGTATCATTTCACAATTTGATGTTTTATATTAAGTGTGTTATTTATCTGAAAATAATCACACACTTTTCTGAGATGATCTTTGCCCTACTTTTGAACCCAATAAAAGCTACCTAGGACTAGTTTGATACTGTAACCCATTGAATTAGTCACTGTGGTTAATAAGTCGGTGACTGGAAAATGAGTATAGTTTTGCATTTGGGAGTTTAAATCTGATCTTTCTTGGTCATCATGTATTGTCACTTAAGAATTTCCAAGTGCAGGGGAAGGTGAAGTTTTTGGTGCTTATATATGATTAACTAAAGGTTAAAAGTAGTCTTACTTTATTAAGTAAAAAAACTTTATCATTTTACCGAAACCCACTGAAAGCAATATTTAGAATTAAAAGCCACCTCTGTGAACACATCGTTATAGTCTTCCTCAGAAACAGTCAGTAATTGGCTTGCCTGAGGTCATGTGGTTTAGGTAGTGCCAGAACCTGAACTGGAAATGAGGTCCCAGGTGTTCTTTCTGTTCTGCTAAGGTTGTCTCCAGGCATCTTTTTATGGTTTGGTAATATTTCCTGGTTTGCATGAAAATGATGTCTTTTATGTATTAAAGGGATTTATAGGTATATATTTTCCCCCCTTTTTAGCTGATTTATTCTTGTAAATTCTAGGAAAACAAAAACACTGTACTTGGCAAGATTTGCAGTGGAATGGAATAAGGAAAGATAAAAGAAAATTCTGTTCTTCAGAACAGCTATTCTGAATTAAGGCTTCATTACTATCAGATATCAAGGTGTCTTCTTTCTGACAAGCAGAAAAGAGTATCTTTGTTACACATGTCTCTACTGAATGAATGTTGTTGGTAATAAGTAGGAGGAAACTATTAATTTCTTTGTTCTTGCTAAAAAAATTTCTCCAAACTGTTTATAATTTTAATATTCTGTTATATTATCTATTAATCTAGAGTCATTTCTCTATTTTATTCTGGGTAAATAGCCACTGTAGGAATAGTTAACTCTTTGTCTTGTTGAGAACCTTTTTGCTTCTACTGATTTCACAAAACCTGTTTAGTCTCTCCCCTTTTTTGGAGATCAGAGGGCTAGATACTTATTATCACTGCTCTTTTGCCTAGTGCTCTTTTTTGGTGTCTCTCTCTCTCTCTTTGGTATAAAAATAAACGCCAGCTTAGAGAATCTTTACTAACCTCAGAAACAAATTGGATGAGTTAAGTGATAATTTGTTTGTTGTTGTATTAGTTAATAATCTGCCTTCACAGACTTGCAAACATTTTGAGGGGTAAACTTTTAAAGAGTTTATTGCTTCAAGAAACTCTGTTTGGGAAGCAGCTTTGTATAGGGTTTGCTAAACTGATATTTAAACCCTCTGTAAAGCTCATTTAAAAATATTATGCTCCTTGAAGGTTTTGGAAATTTGAACAGGAGATACTTTTCTGTGTCAGATAAGATTAAGGCATTTAAAGCTTAAGGCATTTTTAAATTAAGCAAGGGCAACCCACTGAGTAATCCTATCCCAGCTTAATGGTAATTGCTGAAGAGTTTGTCGGTATTCAAAGATACATAGTCTTTTCAATAGTTCATTGTGATGTTTTCTCTTGTTTTTGAAGTTCTTTAATAATAAGCTTGGTCTATAGATTTTTTTTGGAAGGACTAGGTAGATAGTGTTAAGAGCCAGGGCTAATAAGCTAGATTGCCTTGTTTCCAATTCCAGCTCTTACTACTGTGCAACCCTTTGGCTAGTTACTTAACCTCTTGCCATCTCAATTTCCTCGTAGACAATGAAGTCAGTACCTTTACTGTTAGGGTTAAATGAATAGATTTAAGTAAAGCATTTAGAATGGCATATAGTTAATCATGACTGTTATCATTGTTACCATCCGGTAGCCTGCTGAGCAGTTGCTAAGAGAAAACTTTCCCAGTCCTCTTTGAAAGCATGTCTTTTCATTGCTTCTTACTTGACCATTGTTTGCTCGGTATTTTTGTTTTGTTTTGTTTCAAGTTTTTATTTAAATTCTAGTTAACTACAGGGTAATATTGGTTTCAGGAGTAGAATTTAGTGATTCATCACTTACATTTGGTGTTCATCACAAGTTCCCTCCTTAATGCCCATCACCCATTTAGCCCATCCCCCGCCCACCTCCCTCCATCAACCCTGTTTGTTCTCTATAGTTGAGTCTCTTATGTTTTGTTTCCCTCTCTTTTTTTCCCCTTCCCTTTGTTCATCTGTTTTGTTTCTTAAACTATATGAGTGAAATCATATGGTATTTGTCTTTTCTCTGACTGACTTATTTCACTTAGCATAATACACTCTAGCTCCACCCATGTCGTTGCAAATGGCAAGTTTTCATTCTTTTTGATGGCTGAGTAATATTCCGTGTGTGTGTGTGTGTGTGTGTGTGTGTACACCACATCTTTATCCATCAGTTGATGAACATTTGGCTGTTTCCATAATTTGGCTATTGTTGCTGCTATAAACATCAGGGTGCATGTTGTTTGCTCAGTATTAATGAAGGTTCAGTAAATAAATATGTATACATTTCATTGTGTGTATATTTTACAACATATGTGAGATTCTTTTAAAAAATGATGTATTTCTGTAGGCTTTTCTCTCAGCCTTTTGGTATTATTGTAAATAGTTTATTTGTGTAAGTCATAACAGAATTTGAGATTGAAATTTGAGAATTTGATGTTCAATGGTATCTTCTAGCACTTTCTTTGCATGGGAAGATTATTCTGCAATGACATCTATTGCCATATCTGTTCATTCATCCAGTCAGTGAGCAAAAATCTTGTATCTTGGTCTTTTACCAGGTTTTGGGGAAAACAGTGGGAAGCAGAGACAAACATATTTTAGTTGGGAGCCTGATAGAGAAACAGGTATTTCAATGGGAGCCTAACAGAGAAAAAAGTAAATACAGAAATAAAAGAATAAACACAGTGTAATAAATATTATGAAGTAAACAAGGGTCTGAGAGAGTTAATGTGGATATGTGCCTGTCTGAGACTAGCACAATATATCTGGAATATAGCGGCATGAAATGAGGTAGGAAATATGGTCCAGGTTATATAGAGCTTCGCAGGCCATGGAAATGAATTTGGATTTGATTTTGAGTGTAATAGGAAGTCCTTCTATAGTTTCAAGTAGGGGAGTCATAGGTTTTATAAGAAGTCCACTCTTGTTTATATGTGAAGGATGAATTGAAGGGGACAAGAATAAAAATGGAAAGAGAAGTTAGGAGTCCATGGCAGTAGTCTATGTGAGAGATGAAGATGGCCTGGACCAGAGTGGTGACAAAAAAATGGAGAGCTGTAGGTGGATACTAAATATATTTGGAATAGGACTGGGTCCTGGATTAGATGTGAGGAGTAAGGAAATGAGAGGAGTCAGGGATGATTGTGCTTCTGGATTTAGTAACTGGGTGGATGGTTGTGCCAAGCACTGGGAGAGGGAAGATTTGGGGAGGACCAGGTTTGTTACAAGAAGGGGGATGGGAATGAGGAAGAAAGAACATGTTAAATTTGAGATGCTTAGCAATCATCCAAATGTGCTCTTAGGTGCA